TCGTCACAGGCGCCTCAGGCGTGCCCCGGAGGGACGGCTGGGTGTTGGCCCGTCCGCGTTCCTGGTTGTTGTTTTTCTTTACTGAAGAGTTTTCAGCTGCTTTGCAGCGCCTGGGATGACAGGAGAGCACGCGTGTCTTACTCAGTTCTACAGGTGCAGCCAGGAAGCCTGAACTTCAGCGCTGCAGGCTTGAGGCTGGGCTTCACGTCCGCTGGCAGCGGCTCCTCTGACAGGAGAACCTCGCCGCGGCGTGGTCTCCTGGCGTGTCAAACAGGGCCTGAACTGCAGCTTGCCCTCGGCACTGTGAACCCTTCAATAAAAAAAATGACAAAAGAAACAAAAAACCCCTCAATCCATCGCTTTGCTGTAGCGCTGCCGGCTCTGCCCAGCCTGGCAGCGCTGGTCCAGGGTCCTCTTTCAAAAGCAGGGTCTGGGTTGCTGTCGCACACCCAGGGAAGGTTGGTTGGCAGGCTGCGGGTTGTAGGCGCGGGTTTTGCTTTTTTTGGGTCTGCTGTTGGACTTTCTGATGCTGAGTTAGTGTTTGCTTTGGTCTTGGTTACCTCCTTTTCGAGATTACAATAATGAAGTTTCCCTGCCTTTGCACATTCCTGTTGTGGTGGTGGTATCCCATGAGGAGATCAAAGGGGCGGATGAGTTACGCAGCGTAGGCACCTTATGTTCTCCAAATTGTGTTCTAGACACTGGTTTTGAGTAGGAGAATTAATGCCCTTCTGGCCCAAGTCTCCCACGAGATAAGCCAGATGTTGCAACGGGCCGCTCTGTTGTGGAATCATTGCAGAAGATTAACCCCAGGGCCCTGTGGAACAGGTCGCAGACGTTGCGTTTCGGTTTGGTGGTGGGTTTTTGGAGGGTTTTTTGCTCTTTTAACATTGCTAGCAGTTGTCACACAGTAATGATGCTAGAACCCTCACCTTTGGCTTTTTCCCTGTCTGCCTGTCATCACCACACAGTTTGCATGCTACCTTAAGTTAGTTCTCTAGAATGAGCAAGAAATAATTACTTAGTAGTTTCAGCTGGGCCCTGAATTTTCTTCACTTCATTAGAAGATTTGCTAAAGAAATGGCAGTGTGTAGCTGGGTATGCTCACCAGCTGTTGTTTCATTTCTCATTAATGGTGTGCATCTAATGCAATTTTACAAACTCCTGTAGTTAGTTGTGGAGTCCAGTTTGTGGATTTGCTTCCCTGCTATGTCTTTGCCTAGTATCTCTTCAGCTTATGTCAGGTAAACCTGGAAAAAGCAAGTTCAGCCCCTTGGGCTTGTCTGCCTTGGGAAATCTGGAGAGAGCACAGAAAGCATTAAAGGACATGGAAATGGTTGGTTGTTTGTCTTGGAAGAACTGCTTTTGTACTGTGTATCTTTCCCCTGTCTGCAGGCAGAGGTCAGCTGCAAATGGAGAGCTGTTAGGGGCTCTGAGGGGCACAGAGTTATCAGTGTTCCACTGTACAATGATGGTTTTTACATGGGATTCTGTCTCAGTGTACATAATCTCAGGAAGCTGCTGCTGACATTGTGTACCTGTGTGCGCTGTCCCTTGTTAGGGTGGCACCTCGCTTCTTCAAGCAAGCCTTTAATTTTCATATTTCAAAACTCCAGCAAATTTATTGGAAAGATGTCTGCATCATTTCTTGTGCAGTTTAAAGTTATACCTTGGAGGGTTTCACTTCATTTAGTGTCACTTTGTTTATTTCTAATTAAAAGTTTTGGTTTTTCAAAGGGGTCTGTCCTTTGTTGCTGCCCGACCAGTGAGTCCTTTAACTACGCTCCAGCGGTGGTCACACAGAACTGACAAACTTAAACGGGAGGAGGGAAGATGATGTCCTTGGGTGGACCGCAGAAGACAATCCGTAACCCGGTAACTCCCCTGTTGTGTCAACAACTACTCCCTTGCAAAATGGGATTTTGTTTTTTGTGTCAATAGTTAGTACTCTCACTGTTTTGCACAGTGAGGGATGCTATTGAGAACTCAGGTGTTTGAGGGAGAATGTCACAGGTGACGCTAGGAGCCTGATGGTGTTTAGAAATTGTGCTGTAAGCAAATGGACACAATGCACGGGGCTTCCGACGCAGGAAGGAAGTTCTGTTGGCCTTGGAGGGTAATGCTTCTTCATTCACAGCTTATTGGATATCTGCCATTTTTGCAGAATATGCTGGATCGAAAGTGAAAATATGATAAGCAGTGTTTTCACTCCTAATTCTCTGTAAACATGGGTGGTGCCTGGCAGCCCCCATGAAATGTTTTTTTTCTTTCTTTTTTTTTCTTTTTTTTGGTGGTGCTTGTAACTTCAATCTGAACAATTAAACTTGGAATCTTTTTCGATAGTTCATATCTTACCTTACAATAAATCCCGTTTTGTAGGGAAGACTTGACCTAACACGATTCACGCATTGCAGAGAGTGGATTTGACGGAATGTTGTTTGCCTGGCTTAGAGGCTGGAGACTTTCTCTGAAAATCTCTAGTATTCTCATGATCTGGGAGAGCGGCCTGACAGCGACATGTGGCTCAAGGGGTGGGCTGGAGCTGTGCTTTTCATTGTGTCTTTAAACAGGTAGTTCCTCTGAGCCTGCAGGAAATAGTATTTTTAACATTCTGTGCTAGAGCTCTTCAAAAATATTAAAGTCTGTAGAGTATCTGTGTGGAGTGTACAGTTGCACAGATCTGCACAGGGCTTCCTTATCTGTTGCAGCTTTGCACTAATATACGCCTGTGTCCTCAGTGAATCTGGTTGTTCAATCCCACTATACATTCACTGCTTGCAAAATGGAGAGTTAGGGATAACAGGGGAATAGCTTCAACCTTCTGCAAAGAACCCAGCTGGGAGAGGAAGGAGAGCTGTGTGGGGATTAACTAGAAGGGGGAAGGACTGAACTGCAAAAGGAAAGAGAGGATGAAAGTTGGTAGATGGGGACTTTGGTGGGAGAGGAGGATTAGGAAGTGTTTGGGAAAGTAATCCGTGTAAGGGAGAGAGTAAGAGTTCAGCAAAATTGGACGGCTGCAAGGGGACTGATGAGTGTGATGGGTGACAAGACCAGGCTGGAGAATATAAAGGGATAAAGTAGGGCTGAGAGGTCAAGAGTCTAAGCTGGGAATAAGAGTGAGTATTTGGGATTGGAATACTGAGGCAGAGTTGGGAAAGACTGTGCTGACGACCTCAGGACAGCCTCCACACAAGGCCACGTCCAACCTGCTCTATCTGACCTTGCTTTGAGCAAGGCATTGACACCAGAGGTGTCTTGCAACCTCAGCCCTTCTGTGTCACCTGGGTGATACCCCAGGGTGAGCTTAGTAGGGATGGAGGAGGGCAGGCTGTGAAGATTGCACTGTTTCAGTGAATTGTTCCACGAGCAGCGAAACTTAAGAGCTTTATTACATGTTTGAGTCTGAGGCTGATTTCTTCACTACTGTGCTGTTCTGAATCACCCAGAATATCCTGCTTCCCTCTGTATGCCCTCTACTCCACCCATCTGGCAAGAAATGTTGTCATGCTCTATCTGATGGGGCAGCTGTCCGCTACCTGGCAAACTGGATGAAAGCTGTGTAATCACAGTCCTTTACTCTGCAAGACCCTAATGTGTCCTCTTGGTTTATGAAAACTGGCAGATATTAGAAAGAACTTGATCTTCGAGAACTCTGAAACTCAGTTGACATTGACCAATTGGCTTCAGAGGTAATATTTTTTTTCCAGAGGTCTGGAAGAGAGCTGGGATACTGGTAGATCGTGTGATGTCACAAGCATTACTCTTAACAAATGAGGAAAAATTTGTAGAAGAACATCTTGAGAAGTGAGGAAATTACAGGCACATTCTGTGATGACAAAACCTCATTAAGTCTGTAGCATCGCGCCCAGGAAATGCTCTATTACGGTGTTGCAGATTCCATGCCTGAGCTTCTGAAGAGTTGATGGGCCAATCTTCTTTTCTCTCAAAGAAATGCATAAATGCACCCTTTTGAAACAAGTTTGGTTTTTTTGCCACAGCTTTTCTTCCAGGGGTGAATAACTTTGATCCACTAGAGTGGTAAAGTCCCAGAATCCCTGGGCTGTGTCTGTATGTTTCTCTGGTTCGTTGTTGAAGACTGAACCAGTAATTTATTGCTCTGCTGCATTACTCAGAGCTACTGCCCCTCAGGAACAGTGTGTTAAAACTAAAATAATCAAGATAGATTTTTGTTATTTATTATGATTGTTCTTATTCTTTGAATAAAAATGAGCCTCTTGTGAACAGCTTGTGTATTAAGGAACCAAGCTACTATCAGCACAGGATTTCAGCCTATTTATTCTTTCACTTTTAACATTTAATTTTGCATTTTTGCCCTCCTTTACTGCACCTGCTTAAGCCAATAAAAATGCATGAGACTTGAAACAACTTGACCATTTGTGAGCTTATGCTTGAGAAGCAAGTTCTTAAAGTCTGTTTTGCCTGGTGTAGAAGACGACTGCAAACTGGCTTTGTGCAATGTGTGGGTAGCTGAGAAGGGAAGCGGAGAGAGGGCAGTAAAGGATGTGTATCTGCTGGCAGCAGTGATCGATACTCTGGATTTAGACAATTTTTGCTGTCATTCCACCTTCCCTTCTCAGAAATTCACAAGACTAGGTGTCAGCAAACACATCCTCTTTTCATATCTTCCTGTTTCGCATGGTGATATGTAGATATTTAAAAAATAAAAATCTCAACTTGTCCTTTTATGGTCCAGTATTTCATTCAAGAGTATTTCCAGTCTGTTCATTTTTTGTTTTTAATTACTGGAACACTTGTTTGCAATTGATGTTTCATTTCAAAGATGTCCTAAAATCTTACACACTGTTCCATAGGGATTTTTGGGGAAAAAAAACCCCCAGAAACAAGCTTTGCAGAAATTTTTGTCTGTTACCCAGAGCAAATGTAACATTTGCTACCATTTACTTCATTTTTCAATCTAAAGCACGTGTGATGAGATGCAGACTTACAGCTTTGCTTTCAGATCAGTCCCCTGTGAACTTTCACAGTTTTCTGTTAAGGTGCTCCCCTTCCCTCCCTGAAATTCTGGGTGCACCAGCAGATGGTCAGGGTAGGGCTTCTGTCAGCATGTCTGAGCCTTTGCCAGAGAGCTGTGCTGCGGCATTTCGGCTTTAATTTTAGCTGACGTGTCCCCTTATATGGCTTAACAACTCCTGCTGTGTTGCCATTTCAGTTTAGGGTATTTAGTGCTTTCCTACTGTTTCTTTTAAATGAAATGCTAGACCAGCACAGAATTATTAGAATATTATTTTTAAAACAATTGTGGGTTTTTTTAACCTCCATCACAAAATGTTATTTGAATCTTTTTTTCCTTCCTTCTTTTCCCTCTTCTAGATCATTCCATATGTTGGGACCATACATGGTGGCCTTGTTCCTGGAAAGCAGATTGTGATACGTGGGACTGTTCCTGATGATGCAGACAGGTAGCGGCTACACTTTTTGCAGCATCACTGTGTGACCAAGAATGTAATGGATAAAATGTTTCCAGGGACCCTACTTATGATGACACACACAGGCTTGATCTAAATACTTGTGACAGTGTCAGGGTGAACACAGGCTTAAGAAGTTAATGAAAGCTTTGTGGTGAGAAGTGGAGGATGAACTGGTTTCCTGCTTTCTGCTGATCCTCTCTTCTCTCTACTTCGCCTGCTTTGGCAATGGTTTTTTCCCTGTCACGGCATATGTCTGCTTGTCTAAAGAGGTTGTCTGAGACTAACAAAAGTGATAACTGAATGTGTTGCATGAAGTAATTAACTTAAACTGGGATAAGGAGGTATGAACTCGTGCTTGTGCCCAGTATGGGTGTTCTGTTCCCTGTCCTTGCCTGAAGTTCATTTGGTTAGTCTACTGAAGATGATGAGAGGGAAGGTGGTGAACATAGTAAGTGAGGAGCTTACATGATATGAACGATGACCATGAAATAAATACTTAAATATTTTAATTTATTGCAGGAGTGCGTGGGAGAACCTTTCACAAATGTGGAGGGGTTGGACAAATACATGTTTGTTTGCTTTTTTCCTTACCCAGCATCACTCATTTGCGTCTGTCTGTTCTGAGGCTCCACAGTAAAGCATAAGTGTATCAAACTTTTAGGTGATTTCTTGACAGACTGAGCTGAATGTGGTTTGTCTTATTTTTATGATTAGGTTCCAGGTGGATTTACAGTGTGGCAGTAGCACACAGCCTCGAGCTGATGTGGCGTTTCATCTCAACCCCCGCTTCAAAAAGCATGGCTGCGTTGTTTGCAACACGCTGGAGAGGGAAAAATGGGGCTGGGAAGAGATCACTTACCACATGCCCTTTCAAAAAGGGAAGCCATTTGAGATTGTCATAATGATTTTAAAGGATAAATTCCAGGTGAGTCTGGATCGATTCTTTATAAACAGCCAGTTGTCAGGCCGATGAATGAAAGGTATTTTGTATGCTTAAAATAAGTAGTTGGAAGCCTTGGTTTCTCTGTTATCTAGGTATAGTCTAACTACAGAAAAGTTTAGAAGCTTTTTCTTTAAAGAGATGCTGAGTAAATCTGTATTGCTTCCCTCTCAGTTGAATGAGTAGGCAAGTAACTTCCGCTGTGGCGAATGGCTACTCCACCCTTCCCTGCTTACATGCAAAGGGCTGACCTTAGGGTAAACCTGTTTTGTGACAAGTGTAGGACAGGCTGCGTGGAGGAAACGTGTGAGGTGTATTTATCTTGCTCTGTTAGACTGCAATGATTGATTCTATTAGGTTGACAGTACCACAGTGGTAAATGATTAGGTAATAAAAACAAAAGGTGTGAAATGCAGATTTTAGTGTAGTCAAATAAATCCCCCTTGTAGTAATGGAGAAAGAGACTGAATCGTGGATGAGCCGAACTTAGTAGCTCTGAAATTTCTAGGACACTGCCAGCTTCTGCACCAAAACACTGTAAACAGAGATACATGCATATAATTCGATACATGGCTGGTGTGATGTGTGTTTAATACAATTTTCCTATTTTGTTTCCTGTCTCCTTAGGTGTCTGTAAACAAGAGACACTTGCTGCTCTACAACCACAGAATTAGCCTTGAAAGAATAGATACTCTTGGAATATATGGTCAAGTGCACATTGAAACCATAGATTTTGTTTCTAATGTAAGTTATATAGACAGCTGACTTGTTAGATTCCTTTTCTCTGTCTTGCTGAACTACAGAGTAGAATTTATGGTGTAAAGTGCTGTATGGTGGAAAGTAAAGAAAAGCAACTACACAGTCTCATGTTAGCAACGAGACTTTCACCACAGTGCAACCTGTGAGCCTCATGTGAGGATCTCTTCCCTTTTTTGTCTTGAGGTTAGGGGAAAAAGCATGACAAAGTTTACAGCTTATGAAGTTAACAGGACAGATACTGAATCTGGGAATGCATTAGACTTTTCAAATATCACAGGAGCTCCAAAATGATCTCCCAGTATTCAGGCTTCTAAGTGACAAGTTCAGCCATGGCTGTAACTTGTTGCTTGGCTTCCCAATGCCAAGTTCAGCCACGTGTGGAACTGCTTGTGTGCATTAACCCTGTTTTTCCTGCTAAAATGACCGAATTGCGGAATGAAGTTATAAGGAGGAGTGTATGTTTGTTTCTGGGGGGCGAGATGTCCTTTCTTGTAGAAGATCTTGTAGCTTGTCTTGCTCTTGGACCACACTGCAGTGAATATAAAGTGCAGGCAGTGCCGTGCTTCCTCTCAGCTGCCAGCTCTGCTAGAGGAAGCAAACCAAGAGGGAGAAATGGAACAACATGTTTTCCCCGATGCAGAAGGAAAGATCCTTCTGCTCTGGAAGGGTGAGACTTTGAGCAGAAATGGGAGGTGATAAATTCCAGGGAGATACAGAAGGTGAATGCCTTTTCACTTTCTTCCTGCCACTCAGTAAGGCAGGCTGCCTACTCCTGTGTAATATTCTGGGTCTTTTCTGCCTCATCTTCACTACATTGTGCGTAAAGCTTGGGTCTGTTGCTAGTAAACATCAGGTCTAACTCTGGTCAGCAGATGGTTGTGGTTTAGCCTGGCTGGAGGCCAGGTGCCCACCAAAGCTACTCTATCACTGCCCTCCTCAACCGGACAGGGGAGAGAAAAAATACGATGAAAGGCTCGTGGGTCAAAATAAGGACAGGGAGAGATCACTCACCAATTACTGTCACGGTCAAAACAGACTCAAGTTGGGGAAATTAGTTTAATTTATCACCAAATCGGAGTAGGGTAATGAGAAATAAAACCAAATCTTGAAACACCTTCCCCCTACCCCTCCCTTCTTCCCAGGCTCAACTTTACTCCCAATTTCTCTGCCTCCTCCCCCTGAGCAGCGCAGTGGGACGAGGAATGGGGGTTGCGGTCAGTTCGTCACATGTTGTCTCTGCCGCTTCTTCCTCCTCACTCTCTGCCCCTGCTCCAGCATGGCTTCCCTCCCACGGGAGACAGTTCTTCATGAACTTCTCCAGCGTGAGTCCTTCCCATGGGGCGCAGTCCTTCAGAAACAGGCTGCTCCAGCGTGGGTCCTCACGGGGTCACAAGCCCTGCCAGCAAACCTGCTCTGGCGTGGGCTCCTCTCTCCACGGGTCTGCAGGTCCTGGCAGGAGCCTGCTCCAGCGCGGGGCTCCCCACAGCCTCCTTCGGGCATTCACCTGCTCTGGTGTGGGGTCGTCCCTGGGCTGTGCGTGGAGATCTGCCCCACTGTGGGCCTCCATGTGCTGCAGGGGCACAGCCTGCCTCACCAGGGTCTGCTCTGCAGGCTGCCGGGGAATCTGCGCTGGTGCCTGGAGCACCTCCTGCCCTCCTTTTTCACTGACCTTGATGTCTGCAGGGCTGTTTCTCTCACACATTCTCACTCCTCTCTCCTGCTGCACATTGCTGCTATGCAGGTTTTTTCCCCTTAAATATGTTTTGGCTCAGCCTTGGGCAGTGGTGGATCCATCTTGGGGCTGACTGGCATTGGCTTTACTGCACACAGGGGAAGCTTCTCGCAGAAGCCACCCTTGTAGCTCCCCTGATACCAAAACCTTGCCATGCAAACCCAATACAAGACTAGTAACATGAAGGGCAGTTGTTTCCCTTTTGTCTTTGCTCCTAATGTACTCTTCTGAGGAGGAAGAAGGAGGCTTGCATTGAAATAAAAGAGCTGAAGATACAATCTGCCAGGGCTAGGCTGGAACTGTATCTCTGTGTGGCCATGTTGCTCATCTGTCTGCCCGAGTTAAGGGCAGGGGACTGCTTAGAAACCCAAGGTCCCCTGCGTGGACCTGCCTGGCTTTGAGCAACCTGGTCTAGTGGAAGGTGTCCCTGCCCATGGCAGAGGGGTTGGAACGAGATGATCTTTAAGGTACCTTCCAACCCAAACCGTTCTATGATTCTTAACCAACTTGATGTTAAAGTTCTATGATGTTAGCAATGACATCTAAATATCTCTCTTTCTGCAGTCTTTACAAGGCTCTCAGCCATCATCTCTAGGAATAACAAAGATAAACACAGAAAATGTACGTATGTTTGTAAAAGGTTGAACGAATCTCCCTGTTGCCTGATAAGCTAGTTAATGCTGTTTGTTTTCTCTTGCAGGGGAAAATGACGGATGGTTCACAATTTGTAAGTGTCTTGTGTAGACTTGTGGCAAATGTGAAGTGTAAAAATAATTGATATAACATTATCTCGGGTATTCCTAAAAAACATGCACAGAACAAGGGAACTGAGAATCTGCTGGGGGGTGATCATCACTGAGGTTTTGTAGAGAGAAGTGCTCTTTGCTGCTGCTGGTAAAAGTGAGGCTATTTGTTAAATCATAGAGAAAATCCAAAAGATAAATGTTGCATTCACAGCCATTAACAGAGAAATAAAAAGTGAAGCACCTGAAGTTTTCAAGGACCAAATCACATTAAAACCTTCTTTCAAATAAGCATACTTCGTTTTCTCCGCCGTAGGGAATACCTGCGAAACACACGTGTTCTGTAGTCACACCACGCCGAATGGCCTGATGTTAATGTGCGTGTCTCGGAACCTGTCTGGCTGCATCTGCCTCTTGCTGACAGATCCGTGCTTGCCCTGTATGCACTGCGGGTGGCTGGGTGCCAGCCTCGCGCCTCAGGGTCGGACCTTGCACCCGCCTGGCACGGAGCGTAGACAGAATGAGTGCTCATCTCTTTGCAAAAAGCTGTACAGGGGGACAGTACCCAGACTGGAGTGAGGACCACGCTCAGACTGAAAAGGGGTTGGAAGCTGAGGAATATATACAAGTAGAATTTATGGAGAAGGTGAAGTTGCAATGAGTGCCATGGTTTTAGTTGCCTTGTCACTTGGCACTCTGCCTTCTTCAGTCGTCTTTTCAAAACCAAATAACGTGCAGTATTGTTGTTTGCAAGTGGAGGACTCCAACAAAAAAGTAAAGGCAAAGTACTTCTCCATTCACTCCTTTTCCCTGATCAAAATAACTTCTAACACAACAAAAAAAAAGGCAAACAAAATACTTGTACTATCTATTGTGAACTGGTGCCAGAAGGACAGAATACTCAGGTACCCTGCTTCTAGTACTTACGTAACTGTGGGACTACACACTTAGCAGGAGTGTTTAAAGCGTAACTGAAGCTTTCAGAGAGGAGAGGTCAGGATGTCTGGGATGTCTGTATCTGAATAAGTCTGTGATACAAATTTAAATTAGTGCAGGGAGTTTCATGCTTCCCCCCTGCCCCATTCCACTGTTAGGGATGGCAGACGTAGTTGTAAATGATGTTTATTTTGAACCCGAGGTGGTGGTCTAAAGAGAAGACCCAACATGTTGACACATTTATCTCAGTGTAACTTTTCCACTGTAGTGTTAGTATCCTAGAACATGGTGGTAGGAATAAATTTAGCTGTAAGTGCAGATTTGCAATCATAAGCCAAATTTCTTCCTGCTGTAGTAAAGCTCAGCTTGTATATTGAAAAAAATAAGTTGCAATCGAAATTTTTACTGGTGGTGTACTTCCAGGGAGTTCCTTACGTTGGGAAACTGGATGCAGCACTTCGTCCAGGATGCACAGTTGCCATTAAAGGGGAAGTGAATAAAAACCCAAAGAGGTAAGGGTTATTACATTTTGCTGCTGTTTAACTGAGCTACTCTTGAGAAAGAGCAGGCTTTCCCATTGCCTCAGTGTATCCTTACTCACTTGCAACTTTGCATCTGGAATCATGTGAAACTACAGGGCATGTGTCTGAGGAACCTGCAGGATACTGCTTTAGAGAGGACTTAAAGAGCAGCTCTGTTGTGAAGAGTGAAGGTAAAACATGAGTGTGTTACCTACTAAATCTGCATCATTCACAAGGTTGTGTGTCTGTTCGGGTTTCCATTGTGCAAGGCATGTGAGCACACGTACTGTACAAAGACAGCTTTTAGTCTAAAGAGATCCAAGGGCAAAGGAACTTCCAGAAGTAAATGGAAAAATGAGTGAGGTGAGTTGCTGCTGTGCTCGAAGGCTGCATGTTACAGCGTTTCGCTAAATACTTCTCAGATGGCCTTCTCGGGGACTGTGGAAGCATGAAGGTGCCTAACTGACAACAACTGAGTGATGAAAGCTGGTAGGGGAGTGTGAGCTATAATTTTGATAGCAAATTAGGAAAAATGAATTGCAAAGAAGACATTTTCTCAACGTGATTTAAAGAGGAGGAAAAATTAAAAATAGGTGGGAGTGCAACACAGTCAAAATGGAGCTGGGGAAACGTCTGTGCTTCAGCATGCCCTTTGCTTGAAGGGTGCTTTGGCTCTGCAGAAACATGCCTAAAAATGAAGCAATTAGTGCAAATGCCGAGAAGTATGCTTTTTACACTGGGTGTAGGCATTGTACTCCTGCTTCCACAGAGCACGTATCTTCCATGCAGCCGAACAGCACTCAGAGTTTGTATTAACACTGGAACCTAAGGTCTGGAAATCTCATCAACAACGTTGGAATGGACTTTAAGTTGGACAGGACAATTAATACATAGTAGCATTTGTTTTCCTTCTGCTGGTTTGGGAAGCTTATTAGCAGGTTTCAGGTGCTGAATGTACTGCGTGAGGAGGCTTTTGGGTGCTGGCTGAAGCGTTGCAGGTTGCGTGGTGTTTATGCTTTTAAACGTATAGATTTTTGTAGAGTGTGTAAGTTAATGTCTTTCACTCAGTTCACACAGTTGTAGATGTTCCTTTTTCTCAGTGGAAAAGAGGACTTCACAGCTTGGAAGTGTGGCTGTTGCTATATTTTTGTATCTGGACTAAATGATTCTAGGCTGCTCAAAGGAGGGAAATAATGTGACAGCTGGAGCTAATTTGGGGGGAGGAATATTTCTTCTCCAAATGCAGTGAGGTCTTCGCCACAGGTTGAAGTGTTCATTTGAATTTGGATGACTCTTCCCTGTGATGGCTTTTCTCCAGAGCTCCCCTTCAGGAACCCTGTGTGGTGGTGGCGTCTGAGATGGCAGAGTATTCCTTCAGCCTGGGCAGAGCTACGCTGCCTGGTGTCCCACCATCTTAAATGTATGGAGAGAATCCGCAAACTTTTCTTGAGAGTCTAACCAGTTTGTTGGCAGAAAGAATATTACATCTTTAGGTAAACTAAAGCCTCCCACTCTCCACTGCCTGAGTGAAGAGGAGGAGATGGTGGAGCAAGCAGTATCGTACGTTTCTGTGAGAATGCTGCTTCCTGGTGCTGTAGGGGAGCAGCACTTGGCCCACTTGGCTCAATACCTCCTTGCTGAGACATGAACAGAAAGCTGTGAGGGACAAAGCAGATCTAGCAGGGTCATGTCCTACGTTTGCTGCCTCCAGCAAAGGTTTCTGTGCAAAGGAGACTTTAACTGCCTGCTTGGTTCTTCAGGTGAAATCACGACCCTGGCTCCAGAACAGTGCTGAGTATCGGCTGGGGGCTTGGTGTAAATAGCATGGACCACTGCATCATGCTTATAAACCTTTGGTATAGTAAACTTTTAAAAAATATCTTCCAGCTTTGCGATAAATCTGAAATCAAGTGACTCAAAGGACATTGCATTACATCTGAATCCCCGAATGAAAAATAAAGTTTTTGTAAGAAACTCCTACCTTCATGACAGCTGGGGAGAAGAAGAAAAGGAAGTTGATGATTTCCCTTTCAGTCCAGGGATGTACTTTGAGGTAAGATGAACTGAAACACAGCATCAGACTGGCAATTCTGCCAAAAGGATTAGCAGTGGTGCTTAAACGTCATGTCACTAATGCAGATTTAAATAAAACTGCCATTCCTGCATTTCAGTATCTTGGGAATATTTAGGATTAAATGGGACCATAAGGAGCAGAGATTTGACTTGGTTTTAGTGACAACTTTCTTTTTAAATAGTTGCAAGAATTCAGCCTGTGCTCAGAATGAATTTTAATTGATTTGAGTTGAACTCGATCCTTATGGGTCCCTTCCAGCTTGAGATATTCTATGATTCTATGAATTTTATGTAAGTTTCACTTTTTTTTAATGTTTCTTTTGCATGAAACATTCTTTGGAACAAAAGCAGGGCTTGCCCAAGGCTAGGCTAGATCATCAGGTTGTTTTTCGTGCCTTACTTGAGCTTAACTGTTTCTCTTCTTGCTTTTCAGCTGATCATTTTCTGTGATGCCCACCAGTTCAAAGTTGCTGTTAATGGTGTTCACACTCTGGAGTACAAGCATCGTTTTAAACAACTTGAAAAGATCAACATAGTGGAAATCACGGGAGATGTTCAGCTGTTAGATGTGAGGAGCTGGTAGTTCTTTTCAACCAGTACTAAAAGAATTAAACGTCTTCTAACAACAGTGCCTCCTTGTCAAGTACAGACAGGTGCTGACTCATGCCGAGCCTGCCTTTAACTATCTAGGCTTCTGCGTCTGAGTTAGGCGAGTACCAGAACTGCTAACGGCGAGATTAAATCCTCCTCTAGTTTACAGTCTCCTGACAAGCTAAGTGTTTGCTCAGATAGGTAAGTAAGTCTCCTGTGTCACTGAGCCTAGCAATCTGAAAATGCTGCATCACAGTGTGGCTAACAAGGGCACTCGGTATGTTTCAGTTAAACTACTACTCGTCATTCCTTGATAGCGTACATTCACTGTTGTGAAGCAGAAACAAAGCTGAAATAGGATCTGAAGGTATGGTAATCCACCCATAAAGGGGCATTGATACTTCATTTAAAATAGAATTATGAAATATACTCTTCTATTTCTTAGTTTATATTATCAGCTGTAACTTTTTTACTGAGGCTGGACTAAGCAAACAGTTGGCCCGTCAGTTCTAGCAAACGGCAAGGAGGAATTTGGTCTTACTCAGTCTGCTGCTGCAGCAGTACCTTCTCTGACACTCATCGTTATGTCACCTCCTGCTTATAAGTGGCTTACATCAAACATACAGCAGCATTTCTAGCTTTTAATTTTCCAAAGTGAAACAAATCAAAATGATTTAGCTGGTACCAATTGTGTGAACTTTTGAAAGCTCTTTTGATCTGAAATGGCTCCTAAACTGAGTTGAGATTGCTCAGGGACTGAAGTAGATGTTTGTGTATTTCATTTTTTAAGAACATGTGAACCCAGTTACTCCAGGCAGGATTTCAGCTGAGACTCAGATGCCCATCAGTGGAACAGAGAACAAATCATTTTTCAGTCTTGTATGAAACCACTACCTATCTGAAACAAGCTGTTCCTATTCAGTCAGTTTTCCATACAAATGTCAGTCTTAATTTTTATGCTCTTTTTAAAAAGAAGTTGCTACTGACTGTCAATACATATGTGAGGGATGTTCCTATTTATCTTAACAGCTGCTAAAAGAGTGAAGCAATACCAAGAATAAGATGTACCCTAAGACTGTTTAATTACCACACTTAATCTATAAAAAGCATAAATAAAAACATTTGTGAACTCTGCTTTTCTCTAAGTGTAGCTAAGTAGTTATGATCCCTTTTTGGTCTATATTGTATCTTGTTTTGCTTATTACCTGTCTCACCAGTATCTCCAAGGTGGCACAGCGACCCTGACTGAGGGACCGTTTCCCCATCGAGGAGTTAGTGATCCACCGACCAGTTAACCCGAGCAGGCCTAGGCCTGGGCTGCGCTGGCGCGGCGTTCAGGACTGAGCTGTGCTGTGCATGCCCCTGGGCTGCAGGGTAAGCTTCGCTGGCTGAGTGCAGTGGAGGAGCAGGCAGGCAGCTCCCGCTCCCTAATGGCCTGACACCCTTCTGCGTGCTTGCCTTTATCTAGAAGCTCAGCAGGACGTTCTCAGGTGAACATCCCTTCTGGCTGACAGCAGACATGATTAATAGTTGTTTTCTTCGAAGACAATCCTGTGAGGACATGAATGACCACAGCGGGGTCACCGGTCTGCAGACAAGATCTGCATGGCATGCTGCCCCCTGAAGAGTGGCCCATCCCCCCACCTGACGGGATAGACAGTTATCCTCTTTATAGTGTTAGTTCTAACCAGTTGCATTTTAACTTTACAGTCTGAGAGCCTTTCTTACAAGCAGTGTAATGAACTAGTACCCCCGGTGGAAAACAGCTGGTGAGTTTTTTTGTAAGCAAGCAATTTGTTCTTGATCTCCAGGTGAGTAAGAAGCTAATCGGCAGCAGTCTTTAAAGACTAAAAACCAGCTTTAGCTCCTCTAGGAATCCTTGTAACTTCAACATCTTCAGTGGGTTTACTTTTTACTTCCCTAAAAATGACCGAAAAGCAGATTCTCAGGATTGCAGTACATGGGCACTCAGTACCATGCTTACACTGTAGCATGAGAGCTCCTCCGCAGGGACAGTAACTGCATCCCCCCAGCGCGGTGGAATTCGGCAAGTCTCGCAGGTTGTCGCTCTGTTTGGGCCTAGCTATCAGAATTTGCTTACAGCTTTCTCCAGTTTCCCACTGAAGAAAAGAGCAGTTAAGGAAAAATCATATGAAAAGTCCCCAGACCATCCCGAAATGATGAAACCAGATTCATACAATATTTTATTAAAAAGTTAAGATCTTGGCTCTGGTAAAAATCAGTATGACAGTTTGCCTGTAACACTTGCATGGGTGAAGCTAACACGATTCAGACAAAAATTGACAACAAAGGGGCTAAACTTAGAAGTAGCTTTGGAGTGGTTCTCCCAAAATGACCTCCAGCTGTTGAATTGTCTTCTGACACTGCTGTTCAACTTCTTCACATTCATCTAGAAAAAGAAAGAAATAGGAATTAAGCAGAATAGTGATTACAAAGCTACCCAAGGAAGGCTTCATCACTTGGCAAGGCTGGAACTGTCTTCAAACATCAGGTATGAAATAATAATTAAAAATTATTTTGGCACTGACTCAGGATTTAGGCAAATTATTTCTACTGTAACACTGATCTAAAACTATGGAACAGAGGAGATGTGCACAGGCTGTAACACTGAGGAAACTACTGTAACTTAACCAAACATTAGAAAGGTGTTGGACAAAATCCATTTCAGTTTCCATCCTGCATAGTTTAAGCTACCATATACCAGTTCATAAGATTTATAGCAACTGTAGCAATCATCCTGTCTGAATCTTTGAAGCAAGTGGCCCTTATTCTTTTCTTGGTCACAGGCGAGTTGTCTGCCTGCGCTAATGCCGCTTTAGAACATTACCTTCCATGAGCTCTGCTAAGAATGGAATAGATTCTGGGAGCAGGACCAGGTAGTTCTCCTTCAGTTTTTGTGCAACTTCTACCAAAGCAAGCAGAGCAGCAAATCGAACCTAAACCAACACAACAATCTTTGTAAGGAAACAAACATTACAGTGTAGTTCCCCGTTCCCTCCCCTCTCCCCCCTTCCTCCCATGTAAGTTTGTGAACTAGCTTTCCTTACTGAGGGGAACTAGTTTTAAGCTAATTTACATCTCACATCTGGGTTAAGATAATGTCAAATGCTGCAAGAAGCAGGTATGTTGCTGGAGGTTCTCTGATGTAACGGTTTTTAAGGTCCTGTTACAACGCCACTCTGTTCCACTGTATCAGAAGGGCTTAGCTCCGTACAATGAAAAACCCAGTACTCCCCCTGAATACATATAACCTGTCAAACAGGAGAGCGTTGGCAAAACTCTACATGATAAACAGGTCTGAAGACTGATAAATAACTGTCTTCCAGTTCCCTCTAAAGTGCCCCTTTCTTCATACACAAACACCTTAGCTCTTATTCCAACAGCTACCAAATTTTTAAAAACCACAAACTGTATGGAAGACATCCACATGTGGAACAGAATACTGACTGCCTGCAGTCAGAGCAGGCGGCCATGCTGTACACATCTCTCTAGAACTTGGGAGTAGCACCGTACAGTATCAGTATTTTAGTTTAGGCTCGTATTTCAACAACGACTTGGCTAATCCACGTCTGGTTTTTGGGGCACTGTTCCTGTTTCCTACCGCAACAAAGAAAACCAGTCCAAGCTCTGATAGCTCCCAACCTTAGCAGAGGTGTGCCTCATTTTCAGCAG